ATCCAAATTATTTATATTCAAAATTAAATCAAAAATTGAGAGAAAACAAACAAATGATAAATTCTCGAAACCGACAGAAATACAATCCATAAATTTAAATAGAAAAACCGTGGTAACTAGTTCTAATAATAAAATTCACATGGACAACTTAAAACGTCCACTTTAGAAAGAAATACATATAGCTTCGAATAAAAACCACAATATTATATTTCACCCTCGCCGTTGTCGTAATCGGAGACCAAGACAAAATCTATAAACATTACGAATTCTTTGAAAACACACGACGAGTATTATGCTGAAGCAGTAAATTACTTAAAAATATTAAAGATAACACAGGAGCGCGTAGAAAGTAAAATAAACTAGTTGATTCCACACCCTGTTTTTAAGGCTTTAAGGTTGGAAATTTAGATGCATCCGATAGTGATCGCTATGAGTAACTTATCCAAGATTTACAAGAAAATCAAAACAAATTAACTGGCAATATTCGTAACTAAAATTCAATTTTCACAAGTGTCATTAATCAATGTAACCTAAAAGTTCAACAAATAGGTTGAAACGAAAAAATTATTGAAAATAGAATTCGTCAAATCAGCATGATTGTCCAAAAATCAGCATACCAAGAAAACATGCATTTCATCAAAAACATTTTGAATCAAGTCATTAATTTATATGAAATAATTGATTCAATTCTGCAAGACATAGAGCATTCTATTACTTCCTCGAAATTAAAAAACTTCCACCCAATTTTTGAATACATTCATTTATATTCTTTACCAATTTCACACCAGGGTCGGTTTAAGGCAGTAATTCTGCGAGACAAATATTTAATAAAGAATAAATTGCACTACGCCCACCGCGGAAGCACTTGGAAGAGAATTCAACCCGAACTGTACCTATACGATCAAGAAAACCTCAAAGAAGTCGAAACCAATAGTCCTTGTGAAGTACAACTGTTGAAGCAGTTCGCCAAGAGCCCATCCAACTGCCAATAAATCGATGTCACAATATCTGAGATAATAATCAATCAACTTGATACGTCCAATAAGTGGATATTCGTTTTTCCAAAAAAAGAGATCGCAATGCTTAAATGTCAACTACAAGCCGAACACTTGAAGCTACACAGAAGCTATTTGATAAACCTACCATTTGGATGCCAAATACAAATAAAAGATTCTAGTAGGAGAGCCGGCAATATTAACGGGTATGTGATCGTTGCAATGGATATATTTCACATAAAAGAATAGCTCATAGTTACCTTTAAACTAAATGGATGGGTGGCCTCGATTCTCATAGCCGCAACCCTTTGATGGCTGGTCGTAAACTACCCCTCTTTTTCCGAAGGAGCAATGTAATCGTTGCAATAGCTGCAAACTGGTAGATATATTCTTTAATATGTCTTCTCAAATAATATATAGGGTGGCCTCTATTTTGATGGCCGGAAATGATGGCAACCCTCATTGAAAGTCGAGAGCACGCGTTATTTTGCTTGCTAAATACAAATTTTTGAAAGTGACAGCCTTCAAAGTCACTTTCAAAGTTAAAAGAGAACTCTGTGAAGAGGATTTTGCATACAGCTGTAGGTCTTTAGACAAAAAAAGAAACATTAAATTGTGTTAATAAAGTGTTTGCCGCATATGATGAGAACCCCCTACACCGCAAGGTACTTCTTATTTGTTGCGCTTATAGTTCTTGAAGTATCTTTTTATAAAACAACTTTACGGCCATGAGAATCGAGGCAACCCATCCATTTGGTTTAAAGGTTACTATGAACTATTGTTTCATGTAGAAATTATCCATTGCAACGATCACATACCCGTTAGTATTGCCGGCTCTTAGACTATTCATTGATTTCGAATAACTAGAAAACGATCCTAGTCAATCAACACCCAATCATCTTCCCAGACATCGAAACTACGCCTTCGCGCCTTCCATTACTTAATTGAGTTTTCATTTACAGGAAATCAAACTTGACGAGCTCCACAAAATAAAAAACAAAATCGATAACCATAAACCACCGCAATTCATTTCCCCAATTCCAAGAACACCCAGTATTTGGACTTTATTCATTTATATAATTCTAATAACCATAGTTGGTTATATCATGGGCAGACACATAATCCAAAAATGGAATGGAAGAAAGCAAGCCACCGCCTGTCCAGAAGCCCAACCGTCAATCCAACTACCCCTTCAGAAGGTGTAGGTAACTCTGGGACAGAGGAGTTATCTGATGGTCATCAGCTGAGTCAGCAGCATCGAATGTCAAGCCGAGACACTGGTACCAATGGGCAAAATAGAGCAAATTGATAACATTTTTAAAAGTATAAGATGTTCTAAATGAGTAAAAAGGGCTGCAAGACACAGATGAAGTTGGCTAATTTTTACAATCCATACGGGAATAATAGCTATTTATATACCAAGGGGATTATGTAGATTATAATGCCCGAAGACGAAAATAGCCCGAGGGCCTCTGGCCCGAGGAATATATTTCGCCTGAAGGGCATTTTATTCTAAAAATCCCCGTGGTGCATACAATGCTTTATTTTCTACTCAACACAATGTTCTTTCATCAATTTAGTATCAAACAAAATCAGTTAAACTGTGTGACAGAATATTGTTTTGTATTTTGACATGTACCTGTACCTAGAAACGAAATAAATTAATATATCTATAAACATCTCATAAGGCAAGGCAACGGTGGTCGTGTGGGTTAACGCGCTCAACTATATGGGAAACGTTGATGGTAGACCGGAGGCCTAATTTTTGACTTTTTCTCAAGAGAAAATTTGACTGTGTTGACAGTTAAACAGTGCATTAACTATAAGCTGTCAAATTTTCTACCTAGGTAAAGTCAAGAATAAAGCTTCGGGTTCGAATCCTGGCCAGACCGAAAATAATTTCCGGTCGGACATTTAGTGACTGCCTAGGGTGAAGTCTAAATTAATGAAACAATAACAACAAAAACACCTCAGGTTATCATAAGCGGGCGTTATGCGGATCATAATGCCCGCTAGGCTTATAATGCCTTCAGGTTGTTATAGGTATGTTAACGTATTTCGTTTCCTAGGTATTATGGATCTATAATAGTTAAGTAGAAAATAAAATGAAAAAAAGGTTGAAAAGTATTCATTTTTGGACGGCTTTATAATCACTTAAGTTCTGTTTGAGGTGAATATAACGATATAACACATAAGGGATTGTGAGCAATAAATTTGAAATTTTTTATTTCAATGCAGCAAAAAATGACACAACAAATTTCTGAAATAATTCCTGTATTCAGTAGACTCTGTTGAGCTGCTATGTCAACTGTATGATTTAGAAAAGAATGAACAGTGAACGCTTCAGTAAATAACTGAAGTTCAGTCAAAAAAAAGCCGGATTTATATACAGTTGCGGCCATTGGAATTGGCACAAACTTTTTGAAGGCAACTCGTATTGCATCAAAATCTGACAAAAACTGTAACCAACAAAAGTAGTCAGTGGCGTGAGTAATATGATGACTATCTATATATATAAAAATCAAAGTTCACGGGGTATCCGGATATGCGCTCTAAAACCACTTATCCGATTACGATGAAACTTTGGTAGGTTATTATGGCCATCCCAAGGAAGGTTTTTGGATAGGTTACGCATCTCGGAAAAAGAAATTAATTTTGAATTAATTATTAATTTAATTGTAAACAAACTCATTCACATTACATAACAACATAACCCAACTTTTTTTGACAGCATGAAATAACGTTGACATATTTCATTTATTTAGGCTTGCATTCAACCGACGTAACTTTATTATTTTTTGAATTCAAGAACGGCTGGACCGATCTTGAATTAATACCACGTATCTCTATATAAGGTGAATTCGATTGACCCAGATTAGATCGATTTGGGTTCAATTTAAGTGAACTTCTTCTGATCTAGATCATTTTTTTGTTGATGAGGGTGCACTGATCCAGCTTGAATCGAACACAGTGTGGTTCATTTAAATTGAACCAGATCGATCTAATCCGGTCAATCGAATCGGCTATAGAGGAGAGTGATATAGGCTATTTTTTATCCCGAAAAGAAAAGTTCGGTTGCGTAAAACTCTGATACACTGGAACGCCTATAAACAGCCCGGGGCGCTCTAGAGCAGCTCTGGAGTGCTCAAAATGCGTCACTGAACTCACTGGCAAGCGACTCTGATATCGGATTAAAAAAAAAAAAAATTAAATAGAAAATCAACAACAAAATTTGAAAAGAAGTGTATTATTTCAAAATGTATTTACACGCTGGCAACGCAGCGGGTCATTAGCTAGTGAAAGATAAATAATAAAACTGTTCTAGTTTGCCACTGACTTATCACTTTGACACAATTATGGCATTAACGGCTTGTTAAAAAAGTCATATTTTGATACAATACGAGGTAAGGTGCGTCATTAAAGTTTGTGCCAATTCCAATGGCCGCAACTGTACCTTTTCTTCCGAAACTTTTGAAAGATACTTGGATCGTAGCAACTGTTTATCCAAGTCTACAAGTTAGTAGGCTGGCTGCCAACCTACTTGTTCCAAGTTCTCATCCAAGTGCACTTGGACCAATCACTTCGGCCGTGTCAACCTGACTTTATTACCAGTTAATATGATACAAGTAGAGTTCAAGTGAGGCGCGCGCACCGTCCAACTGTATTTGATCCAAGTACACTTTACCTGGTCATCCGGGCTTTGCTGCAGATTGCAGGTTGAATTCATAATCGCTGAAATTCACTTATCATTTATCGCTTTTACTTAATACAACAAATCTCAAATATTTAAACTGACTGACTGATTTACAAACTACGCGCTTTATATACATAAACATGCAATTTCGAAACAATACTTTCCGCCAGTCCTTGGGAAATCGCCTCCCCTGTCTCTATGCTTTTTATTATTTGTGCAATATTTATTCTCCTTTATATGTTTTAAATAATCCCTGCTATTATTTAACCTTTGCCATTATAATAAGTATGCTCCTACTTGAATTTTTTCAGAAAAAGAAACAAATCGACTTTTGAGGACCAATCATTACAGTCCAATTGAGCATGCCGGAAAACCGACTCCGAAAGACTCTCAAGAAGAGCAGCGTGTTTTAGTAGGCCAATCATTTCAAAGGGAAAGAAGGCTTAAACATAGATCTCCGGCGATTCAAGAAATTATTTTCGCCGATCACGATTACCGACTGTTATCTATTGGCATTAATGACATACCAGGGTAAATAACTACGACAATTTTGTTTATTTATAAGGACACGAATTTTTAGAGCTGATACAAGAATCCGTTACTTAGAAATTGCGTACGCAGCACCAGAAGAGCTATTAGTGGAAAACAATATCGCAGTTGGTGTATTGGGAGTAGAAAGAAAATATCTTGATACAGTACTGAAACCCAAAGACATTTCGACTACTAAAAAACGAACAAGTCTAATGAAAATTGGGGAGTTTAATATTCCTCCTAGGTCAACAACAAGGTAAGTAGGTAGATGTTATTGAAGAGAGATTTTAGGACAACGAAAATAATAACGGCAAATGTTGTATGACTATTTTTAATGAAGAGAAACACTAAAAATAAGATCTGCTTTTTGGAACTGGTTGAATCGTCTTGGTTTTATAGAGTTTTTTTTACTTTAAGGGATGAGTCACTTTCGAATACCCTCCCAAGTGGCCCATGTAAGTTTCAAGAGAGCCGTGCAACAAAAAAATCCAGAATTAAGCAATGTAAAATATGGAAAACGTATCTGGAAATGGGCGGAATAATCCAGAGCGAAGTAGACTACATTGAATCTGCTCGAACACTTAGAGCGTCTGTTGCATTATCTAGCCAGATTATAAAATCGGATCATTAATTTATCAATAAACATTTGAACGAGCAAAAGTTAAATTTACTCACCGTTTTGTTTCGATGTAATTCCATGAGCTGGAACTGGATAGTGTCCCGTCGGAATCAAATTGTGTCGGTTCACGGGTAGCTGTAGCCTTCCACAATTTGTAACCAACTGTCGGTCTGTAGGCGGATGAACGGTTAAATTCATCACACTGAGATCGGTGGTTGAATTACCTACAGCAAAATAATTTTACTCAATTTTTAAAATATAGTTTATAATAATATGTTATACCTAATAATGCTCATTTACAGCAATATTTATAATAATCCCTAGCAAGGACGTAGCGAAGGCCTCACGTTGGGAGGGGGGGGGGGTGACATTACTAATTTTCCCAACTTTATTACAACATAAAAAAAATCAAATGTAGCATCGTACACGTACACATAGAACTTTTGGACTCAGCGCATGAGTCGGGGTATAAAGACGGAAGGCTATATAAAAGATAAACGCGCATCTGTATTGACGTCACAAGGGTATCGGCGCTTGACAAGAGTAATCGCGCAATTACAATGGCACTTTTCACTTTGTAGGTAGATCCACAGTGCAGATAAAATGGTAGCTGCTGCTAAACTTTGCTGCTGCTAAACTTTGCTGCTGCTTTTCAGTTTTTAGTTTTGTTCGCATATAGTCTCTATGGGTTGTATCATACAAAACTTGTCGAATCCGTACGGCCTCAATTAATTTTTGAAACATTCAAAACACGCACTGTGACTCTACGAGAAAAACTGCGGCAAGTACACTGCGTTCCGCAGGACCAAATCTGCGTCACACGCTGCTGGTCGCTGTGAAGTCTATTCTTACCAATGAACTATAGCCAAAAACTGGAATGCGCACACATTGCCATATCTGCCAAAAAAATGAAGCCATGAAAGACAGATGCCACAAAGGGGAATGTTGTTTTTTTCTGTTGCTTGCTGACATATGACGTTTTGGAAAGTTTTGTCATATTTACCTTCACAGGCTTCATCAATTAGAATACGTGTTGGAAGCAATTTCCGCCATTTAACATAATGAGTGCGACAAAAACAGGTATCCCCTCCGCAGCAGCGGCACTAGGCTTCACGTTCGTCAATATGTGTTCGCATTCCAGTTTTTGGTTATAGTTCATTGATTCTTACTTAGGTTCACAAAAACTTGCCGTGACTCACGCTGTCTCACGTCACCAAGCTGCGTCTCATTTTGCGCCGAGCCTAATAGGTATCACAAGATACAAGGGTATCAGCATTTGGCAATCCTCTTTGCTGATAATCCTTGGTTTGTGTCAAGCGTTCCTCATGTCATTGTCATTGGCTCGCTTTCGCCGTCTCTCTACAGTCTACGTTATATCTTTCTTCTCTCTCGTCTCTCGTGTAACGAAATTTGCCAAAACGTGACGTTACGTGATGCGTCTTTTAAATAACTATCCATATTCTCGTCGAAATATCAGACCGCCGCCTAAAGGCCGGGACACATCTATCATGCATTCTTCCGATCCGACTCCGATCATACAATCAGGGTCCTATTCTTGGAACAGGGGAACAGCGTTCCCAGGAGAACGATGGTTCCGTCTTCGTTACTCCTATTATCAGTTGCATATAATTGAGAAAGACGGAACACTCGTTCTCCTGGGAACGCTGCTCCCTGTTCCAAGAATAAGGATCCTGATTGTATGATCGGAGTCGGATCGGAAGAATGCTTGACAGATGTGTCCCGGCCTCAAGAAGTTTCACTTTAAAAACTGATAAAAAGTTTGATATGTATATATTCCAGACTAGGCCCGAAATTACAGAAGCTCTGCAACACCAAGATACAAATGCAGGACCTGCAAGTCTGACTTTACGTATTACAAAAGCAGAATGCATTTGCAAGTCGCCTGCAAATTTGCGCGTGGTGAAATGGTCCCGCAAGTCCTTGCTATCCCTTTGACAACTTTGACATTTAAAACTCGTTAATCATTAGCGCCCAAACACTTTTTTCCGATAAATATGACGAAATTGCAGATTTTTTTCTGTAATTTGCTCGTTTCTGCAAATAGAGCACATATGCAAGTCGGCCATATTTGCAGAACTGCAAATTTGCAGATGCAAATATATTGTAATTTGGCCCTAGACCTACAAATAATAATCAAATAAAATAACAACTGTATAAAAAAACGACAAGAACGTGTAGGTATAAGAAAAATGTTTGAAAAAAACAAAAACTATTTCTTCAACTCAAGAGCACCAGGATTCAGAGTTCTGCTGAAATCTGAATAGCGAGTGAAGAATGCGCAGAACGCGGAAGTCAACATAATATGAGAAATTTGGATTACCGTAAGGTGGGGTGGGGTTAGTTGCAACATTTTCAAAATTCTTTTGCCGATACCTTCTTTATTTTTTTGTCGAGTTTGACCTAATTGGTGCCAAAATTTTAGTCTTGGGGTCTAGTATCCGATTCTAACAAAAAACTTTGAATAACATTATTATTTGATATATATTTTTTAAAAAAACTGGGTGTTGCAAGTTGAACACCTGCAAGGGGATACTTGCAACAAGTGGCTTTTTTCAGTAGTAATTGTATTTAGGAACGCGTGTTAACTTACTTGCAACACGAAATATTAAAAAAAAAAAAATTGGCTAATTTTGGCCAATTTTGGTCAATTTTGGCCAAAAATTGGTCTCCTTCCTTTGGAAATACAGGCTGCCTACCAGGATCAAGGGGAAATAAGTTTCTTCTTTTCCGAGAAAGCGTTGATGGGTCAATCCCGAATTCTCGCGATGCTTCCCGAATCCCTGATCCGTTTTCGATGGACCTTAATGCATTTTCCAAAGTTTCGTTGGAATAATTACGGTAGGTCCTACTCCCTAACTGTTATTTGTATTTGCGAGGCATGTTACCTAATACGGTACCTAATACACTATAGCGCTAGTGGTGCTAGTGCTACTACTGCCACAAGTGTTACGTACCACTGCCACAGGCTAGTGGCGCTAGTACAGTGCAAAGTGCGACGCAAGAAATCGCCGCGACCATTGGGATTTCGTCATGCTGTTGTCCGGTGATTTTGCAATTCATTACGACACGTGACGATCCTAATGTTAATTTTAATCAGTCCTCGCAAATAAGGTACGCAAATTTTTGTCTACCAATTTTTCCCAACTTTAAATTTTTCATCCAAGTTTTCCCAACTTTCGATATATTTCAGGAACTTTGGGGGGGGCGCCACCCCCCCCCCCCCCCCCCAGCCCCCCCCATGGCTCCGTCCCTGATCCCTAGCTCTATCCAAATCACTTCAAACGAAAATAAATATTCGAAATGCATCTTAAAGCCGTATTGCCTTGATTTCCCAAAAATGTTTTTTCTACTTTCGTGCGTAAAGTACTCACTTTACGCACTATTCAGAAGACATAAAATTACACTTCACGCACTAGTGCGTAAAGTAATTCACTTCACACACTAGTGCGTAAAGTAATGTAAATGACAGATATCGACACTGTCAATTTAGTATTGTTCTGGTAAATTACTTCACGCACTAGTGCGTAAAGTGAAAATACTTCACGCACTAGTGCGTAAATTATTTGTCTAAGTCTATTTTTTTTACACATATTTGATTGGTATAGAATTTTTAATACCTATTTAGAAGTAGGTACCAGTTGTTCTAGTGACTAAATGTATAGTCTGGCAAGTGGTAACTTGGTAGAGACGAAAGGGGAAAGAAAAGTGGGACGTAACATAAAAATATTCACTGACACCTCAGCTGATACCGCCTGATGACAGCCATGTCTTTGAGTTCAGTGGCACCGAAAACGCCAAGGAAATAAACCAATAAAATTATAAGAAAAAAAATTCTCTAGTTTTGCCAATAACTACGCCACTGCGTGCTGTCGTTCAGGCTCTAACCAATAGAATCATGCCTTTGAATAATCACGCCTCTTCACATCCATCATTTCGCAATGTTGCCGGATTTTTTTCTATTTCATAATACAACACATGTCCATAAACCAAAAAAAAAAATATGTCACCAACTTGTTTATTATTTTTTCCGTCAAGTTTGGCAGAGCAGCAAATTCTATTGCAGTTCGCCGTTTGGCTAGCCAGACAATATATCGCTTCTTGAACACACAAATAAAATTAGGTCATACATTTCCTATTTGTACATGAAATTGACGTTTTAGCAATCGACGTTCGTTTTTGTTGGTAATTTTTTGTTTCATCTGATTCGTGATTTATAAATAAGGATGGAATTATTCTAAATGGGTATTAAAAATACTATAGTCGAAAAAATGTTGTATGCAATACGTGCGTAAAGTCCCTTTTTCCACTCATGTGATTGTCGCACTCGCCTTCGGCTCGTGCGTTAAAATTCACATTCGTGAAAAAAGGTTCACTTTACACACTTGTTGCATAAATAACTATTATTTGATTTGTCAGTGCAGTGGTGGCCCAAGTCAATTTGTAAATCGGTGTCAGCGTATTCCTATACAAGGTAATAAAGTCTATCGAATAGGTAATTGACAAATACTAACTTATTGAAAGCTGCCCCCAAAAAAAAAACTGAAAGTTTATAGTGGTTTTGGTGAGGACCAAATGATTAATTTTAAAGGTTATGTATGTGCGTGTTTTTTTTTTATTAATTCGCTTGTAATTTCTTATTTTTTAATTCCCTGATTTTTTCTTAAATTTCTTTTTTATTCATCATCATCATCATCCAACAATTTCCGTCCGCTGTCGGACATAGGCCTCCTCTAGATATTTCCACTTCCCTCTGTTTTGAGCGGTTGCAACCCAATTTGTATTGAGTCTTTTCGGGTCATCCATCCATCTCGTGAAAGGTCTTCCCCGCGGTTTCGCTTGTCTGATCTCGCTCTCCTAAAACTTTTTTTGTTCATGTACCATCCTTCTGCCTTGCGACATTACCAGCCCATCTACATTTAGATTTTGCGATTTCCTCTAATATGTCTTCAACTCTAGTTCTTCCTTGTATCTCGTCATTTCTTATTTTGTGCCACAGAGTTATTCCCAACATTGATCTTTCCATCTTGCGTTGTGTGACACGTAGCTTTCTGGCTGATGCTGTTGTGAGTGTTAAGATTGTTAAGGTATCTACTCCATAGAGGAGAAATGGGAAGACGCAGGTATTCAAAG